GCGTCGGTGATCTGGTCGTACGGGGCTGTTGACCGAGAAGGAGGCGAAGATAGGGCCGCCGTCCTGGTCGGTGACGCCGCTCACCAACATCAGCGGCGGCCTGCCGCTCCCTACCAACGTCACCTATACACACGCAGAGAGAGAAAGAGAGGGAGAGAGATCCATCCATCCATCCATCCATGTCGTGTGTGTGTGTGTGTGTGGTTCTGTTGTGTTGTGTTGTGGTGTGTTGTGGTGTGTTGTGGTGTGTTGTGGTGTGTTGTGTTGTGTTGTGTTGTGTCACACACACCTGGTTGATTCCGAAGTCGTTGTGCAGGGGTCCCTTCATGATGATCTGCACGGCTTTGTCCTCCTCAGACGCCTCGTCGCTCACAGGCGCCTCGCGCCACGCCGCCGCCGTCAGTGTCCAGAGGCCTCCCTCACTGCTCAACGGGGCTATCTGCTGCAGCGATTGGCGCCGCCCCCGTGTGGCGTTGAGGTCGATGGCATCGCATGAGATGGCTGTGCAGGTGATGTCCGTTGGGTCAGACGACCACATTCCCGACGGCTCACATGTGATGTCGCTGGGGCCATTGAGGGTGCCCTCGGCACACGAGAAGGTTACCACGTCGCCCACATGGTAGGAGTGGCCCGTCTGCCGTCGGTGCGGCTGGTTGTGCGTGTCGGACGAAGGGCACGAGATGGGGACGCACTCGTCCTTCTCGTCATACTCGAAGATGCCCTCCTTGGTGCAGACCGCCGTGATGGGGTGGTCACTGCGGTAGCCCTGGACGCACTCGTAAGCGACCTGCATCCCGACCGTGTAGATGAAGGCGCTGCTGGGAGGCAGCGAGATGCAGATGACGACGTGCAGGTTCTCCCGCACCCTGCTGAGGAGAAAGTCATACAGCGGCTCGGCCATGAGGCACCTCTGCTTGGCGGGCTTCTCGAGCTCAGCGCGGACGGCGCTCAGCTCGTCTGCCACGAAGAGGCTGGTCACCTCGCCAGACCCCAAAAGGTTGTTGACGTCCTCGATGAACAGCTCGGTGACGATCTCCGTGTCAGAGAACAGGAAAGTGGTGGCCTTGCCTTTCACCTGACAAACACATGGACGTACCTACCGATGCCCCTGTGTGCGCATGAGCTATGTCACTGACCCCTGCAGTGTGGTAGAGCTTCTTGAGGTCTTCCTGGAACTCCATGTGTCTGTACTTCTTGCTGATCTCAATCTCGAAGAAATCGGACTCCCAGATGAACGAAGCCAGCCGCGTCATCGAATGCCGGCGGGACCCACCCACCCCCACAAGCAGCGCGTTGCCCTTAGGCAGCGAGATCACCCTGTGGATGCGGCAGCAATGCTCGATGGCGTCTCTGAAGAGCACCAGGTCCATGCCGGCGCCCTTGCACTGCTCATTGTACCCCTCCAGCTTGAGCTGCATGAACTGCCGTAGCACCCCGGCGTCGGTGATCTGGTCGTACGGGGCTGTTGACCGAGAAGGAGGCGAAGATAGGGCCGCCGTCCTGGTCGGTGACGCCGCTCACCAACATCAGCGGCGGCCTGCCGCTCCCTACCAACGTCACCTATACACACGCAGAGAGAGAAAGAGAGGGAGAGAGATCCATCCATCCATCCATCCATGTCGTGTGTGTGTGTGTGTGTGGTTCTGTTGTGTTGTGTTGTGGTGTGTTGTGGTGTGTTGTGGTGTGTTGTGG